CAAGAAAGCACGAGCTTCCGGCAGCAAATCTTAGGTTTACAGCGTTGTCGACGTTTAGATCTTGCTCTGTGTACAAGGTTCCAATGCTGACACGGCAAATCAACCTGCGCAATATTATGGATATGTTCCATAAACCAAAACAACCCAACTCCGAGGACAAATTGCCACGAAAGCCAGTTGAGCCTTTGAAGGATATGCACACCTCCAGGCCATTGGTCATCTTGAGACTCTTCCATGTCTCCGAAGGTCAGCATCAACGAGATGCATAGACTGTTCACCAGAGCCAGGATACTAGTTTTAATTATGAATGGCTGAGCCAAGTAACGAAAAGCTATATGGCGATGCCTGCAGTGTATTAACAGAGCACGCAATTCCTCAATGGCGATGACTGTAGCAGTCGCCAAAATAGGCACCAAGATGCAGCTAGCCAGAAACAAGAGAACAAAGTCCGGAAAAGATCTGAGACATCTGACAAAGTTGCCCCAAAGAAACACATCGTCTCTGTCGCCAGCAAGCCATAAATTGGTCTCCATTTGATCAAGATCCCGAAAGCCTAGTCCCTGCCAGAGAAACGCCATCAGCTTGGAGGGGAAAACAGCTTCAGGGAATCTATCAATCCATGAAGATTCAGCATGAGAGCTCTCACCGAACAAAACTCGAAACCAAAGGCCCCAAACACTTTGGAAAACATACCAACACATTCGACCAAAGGCTAGCAAGAACACATTCATACTCTCGTCACTGTTCCGAAAGAAACCAAAGACCCCAATCACTTGGTCTCTATAGACTGTGCTCAGTGACCATTCCAGTGTTCCATACAGTCCTATGCATCCATCTTGGTCAGGTCTGCCACCATACGTCTCTTCTTCTCCGATGGTGGTGTTGACATGGGGATTTCGGCCGGGCTGTGGTACGGTCCACTTCTCTGCCTTGGCGTCACAGCTTTGCCGAATGGTTGCATGGCATCTCTGCGCGGTGTGCCCGCATCTGCATCGACCTCCACAGGGCTCTGAATAGCATTGTTCGCTATTCCAAGTCCCTGGATCAGATCGTAGATCACTTCTGACTTGTCGTATTTGGAGGGATCCTGAAAAATGATCTCCAAAGCTTGCTTTTTGAGCGAATCCGACACTTCTGAGAGATTGGAATTGATCCATGCCTCTTTGTGTGCATTGGTAGGCAAGAGCATGCCTTTCCCAGTCTCTGTATTGCCAGGTCCCATAGTTGATGCAGAAGTGGCGAGTCCTGATGCAACTTCCGGTGCTGCTGGAATAGGTTGGGGGGGCACAAGCTCCCTGATTCATTTGACCCATAGCCACGCTGGCAGGGCCACCCATGACCATCCCAAACACAGACGTTAGCTGTTGTAGTTGCTGTTGCAGCGCCTCCTGCTGCTTCATCAGCATAGTATTGGTCATCTGCTGTTGCTGCATGTTGAGCTTCATCATCTGCACAATCTCGTCGTTCTTGTGACATGACAGCTCTCCCATCTCGTCGTCTTCGCTTTTGGGCTTTGGTCCATGTTCCAGCATGTGTAGATCTTGTTGCAGCTTGCGGAGTTCCTCTTGGTGCCTTGTCTCTTCTTCGAGCACTGTGGTACCAATCGAATCCTTCCAAGTCTGGAAGGTGATCTGCTTCTCGCTGATCATGGTATTGAGCTTGGCCATGCGGGTATGTTTCTTCCTTCTGGCGTTCAGCTCCCTTTGCTGCTCTCTCAGATCCTCCAGGGGATCGGTACGGCAGAACTCTGAGATGCTTTCCGGCACATCGACTCCTTTCTCTGCCATGGTATTGGCAAATGCTTTGACTTGTTGCCTGATTTGGCGCACTTCCTGCGATGTAGATGGAGATGATGCAACCGATGAGGGTCCAGAACGTCCATCGTCCTTGGCACTTCCTATCGGCAGTTTTCTGCCATCGTATGCAACCAAGTAAGGCCCTTTGTCTTTGCCCTTCTTGTCCTCTTTCCATGTCTTCTTTTTGGGCGTAGCCCACCCGTGTGGGTAACTGTAGCCTTCCCATTGTCTCCATGCCATGTGACCACTTTGCGAATCCCTTAGCAGCGGCCTTCTATAAGAAGGTTGGCTATGGTGGTTTTCCAGGAGTGCAATGCAGGTATTAAACCGTGCCAGATCCTGTGGTCTGAGGCCTTGTGATTGTTTCTTTTGCACGAACTGGCGAGCTTTATGCCGTCGCGCTCGTTCCTTTCGATGCCAATGCGGTGAGCGTGCTATGGCAACCGACTGGACGCGTACTCTTTGAGTACTGGGACTTCAGGTGTTCCTAAACTAGGCGATCCTTGGGCCCTCCAAAAGGTCTTAGACAAATGAACATTCATGTAAACCACCAAGCCTTGGGGTAACTTGTGCCATCAGTCCACCTCTCTACCACCGGCTGGTTATCAAAACTAGGATATCTTGTTGACCTACCTGGTGTCGGTCTTTCGCTACATGGTGGACTGGTCGGGATCCAGGTTGTGACCCTCTTTTTTCCTAGGTCTTTCGCCATGGTGCGAGCACGCTTGGACAGTCTTGTTTTTGATCGCTCGCCTTGCCCTCTTCACATCTGAAAGAGATACGCGCTTGTCCCACAGCAATGCGCTTACCTGGAGACAGGTGTCTTTGCCTCCTCGGAATGTCTCCTCGGTGCGAACGTGCCAAAGAAGAGGCGCTATGCATTGGCTGCATTGACCAAACTTCTTCCACCTTTCGAGGGCATTGTAGATGTTATGACTTATATCAATCGATATATAGGGTTCACATGGGTCCACTAATGGATTATTCGAAGCACTTTCGAGTTGTTGAAATGGTTCAGAAGAAGCCTTGAGAAGCGGAACGCGCTGGTGCATATCACATTCTCGCTCTACCACATGCTTAGTGCACGACGGCGCTTATAAACATCACATTCTCTTTCTATCACATGCTTGTAGCCTGTCAATCCAAGGCTGATCGGGAGGTAGAAACTGTCAACATCAAAGATCTGCATTCCTCAAAGGAGCCACGCCCAATGTAAACAAAGTCCGGAATGGTCACACTTGTCAAAGAGTCGCATTTCTCAAAAGCAAAATCCCCCATGTAGCCCACTGAGTCAGGAATGATCACACTTGCCAAACAGCTGCATTCCTTAAAGGCACAATCCCCGATGTAGGTCACCGAGTCAGGAATGATCACACTTGCCAAGCAGCTGCATAACTCAAAAGCGCAATCCCCGATGTAGGTCACGGAGTCAGGAATGGTCACGCTTGCCAACGAGCTGCATTCCTTAAATGCACACTGCTCAATGTCAGTCACAGAGTCGGGAATTATCACGCTTAACAAAGAGCTGCAATGGAAGAAGGCACCTTCCCCAATCTGTTTTGTTGCTAACTTTGGGATCATCACACTCGCCAAAGAGATGCAGTGTGCAAAAATGCAATCTCCAATGTGAATCACTTACCTGTGAATGGTCACACTTGCCAACGAGTTGCATTCCTCAAAGGCACCATCACCAATGGAGCCGGGGATGGATACACTTACCAAAGAGCCGCATCTTTCAACGCAAAATTCCCTATGTGGGTCACGGAGTCAGGCATCGTCACGCACGCCAAAAAGTCGCATTCCTTAAAGGCACCCTCCCCAATGTAGGTCACAGTGTGGGGGAATAGTCAGTTTAGCCAAATGTTTGCAGCCAAGGAGGCTCTTTCAATAACATTTCGGACTTTGGGATTTCAACCACGATCAAAGACGTGCGGTCAATCTCGCCAAACCAATCAAGCTGGCCTTGATGGCAGCATCTGACTGTGTTTGTTTTCCAAACGATCGTTGCACTCATCTTCTCAAAAAGACCTGCTTCCTCAGGGGTTTGATCATTCTCCAGCAACTTGCTGTACAATCGCTTCCACCTGGGTTGTTTGACGCGTAAGCTCGTCTTCCCAAAGCTGTTGCTCTTTGATCTGCTGCTGGAGCTCCCAGCCAGTCATCTCTGGCAGTACTTCAAGTTCAGCGGAGACTGTGTTCAGGCTCTTTTCAGGATCCCAACTTAAACCACTCCAAAACAACGCCTCCTATGTATGTTATATATATATATTCAATTATATTAATGTGTTTCTGAGGCTTTAAGGCTTTGCCATTTTATTTGCTGAATATCACTGTGGTCACTGTGCCAAAAAAACATGAATTCGTTGCTGCTCAGCTCAACACCTTTGATGGACATGGGCTGGTATGAAGCCAACAAGGATGTCGGATCTTACCATTAAAGAGAGGTTGTCCGGCCCCTCCCGTCGAGAAGCATCGTGCCGCCCAATGGAGTCAGGTGAAGCCCGTGGGCTAAACAAACTTCATGGAGGAGAGGAATGGAGATGAAACGGACTTGGGAAGCCTCACTTGAAGGATTCTCCCAGAACAAACGGATTCTCCCAGTCTTCAAGGATGGGAGAAGCCGACTTCACGGTGACTTTGCGCTCCACACATGAAGAGACACTGACCTCGGTCGCATCGACCCAGAAAGCCCTCTGTCGTCGCATTGGACCCATGGACGCCGTTCTTGCGGACGTGAGGTCAAAGGGGCGGCCGACATGTTGCACAGATGAACCCCGATGATGAGCATGCCAGGCAGTGTGTGGACTCATGGTTTTTCTTGACAGGTGGCCACTGGGAGTGAAAAACCTTCACAAGTACAACAAGATACAACAAGGATTTACAAGCCCACTTGCAATTGCGGTGGTCAACCAATTGGTGTGTTCCTGAAGAGGACACCACAACCTCGTCTCATATTTCACGCCTGAAGCCTTTTCCAGCAGGTGAGGTCATTTCGTGAACATCATGAAGAACATTGAAGAACAATCATTTTTTAAAATGTATACCTTGGATATATATATATATATATTATATACATATATTGTCCTATTACCAGTAGCAGTGGATGATGACAAAGCCGATGTATACCCATTCTTCGCATATCTCTGATTGTCCATTTGTCACCACCTGCGCTTGGCACTCAGACGGTAGGGTCGACCACCGGTCCTCCTTCTTCCCATAGACCCAACGGTCCTGGGTCGTCGAGTGCAAATGAGACAAATCCCGATTATTAGCACCTGGAACCCAGTTGACCTCTGTCTTGATAGAAAAAAACAACATGTGTTGGCTCCAAAACAGGGATCAATCAGCTTCTAGGATTCTAGACACTGGAAGAACATATATACTGTATACTGAGATGTGCAATGGCACGTTTCAATCTTGGTGGAGAGCAATCTTGGTGGAGACTTGGTGAGGCATCGAGTGTATTTTTAGTCCTGCAGAAGCTCCATCATCTTTTCGGCATTTGAGGTGCCAGCTTTTCGGTTTTCCAAAATCCAACCTTTTCTGCTGATGATTGCAGTACTTGCGGGAGGCTGCAGGTTTTCGTCTGGTTTTTGTGGTGTTGCAAACTGAGGTGCCGTACAGGGTGCAAACAGGAAAGACCAGTTTTATCTTGTAGGATCTATTCCAGCTGGCAAAAAGCGACAAACGATCCATGGAACGATTCTGGCCAAGGCTCGATGAAACTCCACTCCTCCACACCCCTCCAAACCCAAACACTCAAAACTTCACATCAACACGAAGTCACTCCTGCAAAAGCACAACAAACCTTTCGATGGTGATGTTTAGCTTCCACGTGCAACTTCTTCCAAGCACTCTCACGATTTTGCCCGTCCATTGCCCTCTGGGCATCCAAACTGTATCTTCTGCATGGCCCGCCTCGCGCCATCAAAAAAAGAAACACGTGAAGCACGACCAAGCCAACCAGGGAGGGGGAATACCCCATTCCAAGGGCATTGACAAGCACTTCCACATTTGATGCGTGGGATCTCCACTGAAATTGAGCGTTTCTACACTCCATGTATGCCATATATGCTTACATTGACCCCCCAAAACCACCCCAATGTAGGTATATATGCCAGTCCGGAGTGGGACTGGTGCAGGCTTCAGTGTGGTCAATCCTCGGTACTGCGCACGTTCGGTGCCTTGCGGTCCGCGCCTGCGGGTCCAAGAGCACGAGCACCACATCGCCCTTCGTAAGGCCCAACTCGCCCTGGCCCTGAAAGACGGGAGCGGAGGTGGACAGAACACAAAAGCGACGGATGGAGAGACTCCATGTGGAACTGAGTAGTTTCAGGAATCCAATGCTTTTCATGTTCACTTCCAATGATTTTCTTTGGCTTTGAGTTCTATGTGCGCATAATATATATAAAATTGGGAATTCTTGATAGGGCGGAAGAATGGACGGGGGCCTGGTGATTTTCCAAACGCTGCGTTCAGCCAAAAAGCTTTTCAGAAAGTTCAGGGGTCGCGCCACCTACAGCCACCTGGAAATATCACCAGTTGGCTTGTTTGGATTCCCGTCACTCGAGTATAGAGAGGTATTTATAGCCAATGTCTTTTGAAGACACATCGACCTCGACCTCCTGAGCATCGAAAGTTCCCGTGAGCAGATGTCTTGCGAAAGAGAATTTGAGCAAAAGTCTTCCATGATGTGAAGGGCATGGCTTCAGCCATGGGGCCACTCGGATGGCTCAGCCAGGGTGGACATGTTTAAGCTTTTGGAGAGATGGATTGTCCTTATTGTCCTTCTGGTTTTGGACCTTCAAACTTCTTGAATCTGAGTGGCTCCACATCTGATCCGCCTGCTGCATCTCTCGAAAACCTCTGGGCACCCAAGCCATGGGCTCAAACTGCTGCGATGCCCGGCGTCTACAAAGCGCATCAGTGGACGGTCAATCACAAAAAATCACAAAACACTCGACGGTGGAGTTGAGTTTCTCAGCAAGATTGTGGACGATTGTGGGACCTCCACGCTGTCTGGGCACTGGGCAAGTAGAGCAGTAAGATTTGCAATTCTGCGGGCAAGGGAATCTATTCATTCTTGAGACTCATGCAAAGTATGCATGCACCTACAATAAACTGCTTGAAATCATCAACAATCAACTTGTCGGAGGTGAATGTCCGTGCATGTCCTTGAATCTCACACTCCAAAAAAGTGGATCAAAATCCAAAGACCAAAGAACAGCCAGCCCATTCACCCTCTGGACATGTATGATGGACATCTCTAGTGTTTCATGTTTCTTCCCAAAAACTGCTGAAGAACATCGAAGAAACCTGATTTGGGGCCAATAAATAGTCTTGCATCTCATGGCTAGGGATACGATTACAGCCAGGCCTGAAGGATGTGCAGGTGCCAATGACTAATACCATGTTGTGATCATTTGTGCATTATAGAATTGGTTATATATAATTGTCAACTGCATTTACAAGCTGCGGTAACTTGCCTGGTCCATGAAGATCAATGCAAGTCTTGCGAACACTGAGCACTAAGACAGTGTAAATGGGTTCCAGCTGTTTCACAAACAGTATCATCTCTGCAATGAAAGACAAGAAAAGACCAGTCCTCAGACCAGAGGCTCGAACTCAGACTTCACTCTTCCGACACCGAAGCGCCGTGCGCCCGGCCTTTCCACGGTGACTGCCTCGACGGGTTCCTCCGGTCCTGCTGAAGGGCGGCACGCCGTCGGCGCGAAGCGGTCGCGAAGCGCGCGCAGTCGGCGAAGCGCGCGGAAGGAAGACAACCTGTACGCTCCGACGAACACGTTACATGGATGTGGAGGCCAAATGGGTCCAGTGGTCTTGGAAGACCAGTTTCCTTTGCAAACAGGTGGTGCCATGCCATCCACTTCCATGTTAGAGAGTCGGAGAGTATTCTTTGATGATAAGAGTCGTCTTTGGGGACTAGGGTTTGGCCAATACAGTAGCTGGCTCCTTTTTTCCTGTGACTTGACCAGGGTGGGACAATCGGCTGCGTCACTCGTTGGACACACTGATTGCTGCGGAATCAAACCACGGCGTTTCTTGTGCAAAAAGTGGGCACAGAACTGAGGTCTCCGGGCTCCGACATAAAGGTTGACACATGTTGACACAAAGCAAGGGGTCAAAAGAAGGAAAGTGCTCGAAACCTGGATTAGGCAGAAGGAGCTTGGGGCCAGATTGGGTCTATCTTGGGGGGACGGGCCCTTATTCAGGAGATGACAGATCATGATCTTACCATATTGTAACTAAACCGACCAAGTAAGGATTGATGGAGGCTACATCAAATGCAGTCACGTTCTGGCAACTTCTTGGCGCCTTCCAAGGGTTGGTGGGTCTGAGTGCTTTGAGCTTCTCGAGAACATGGGTGCCAACTTCAAGAGGTGATGATCAAATGCCGCCATCAGCATAGAGTAGGTCTTTTGTATTGTTCTGTAATATCACATGGCTTTTCTGGATCAGAAGTAGATTCCCAATAGATTTCAAACGTCCAACATGTCTTGGATGGCAGCTCCTGGACCTTCCATTGTGCTCGTCAAATGCATGCGCAAAGCATGAAGAGCCTGGAACTCCCCAGCCTGATCTTCAGTGAAGCCTTGTTTCCATCTTGGAAATTCACGGGAATTTCTTGGTCAATCAAGTTTTCCATCCAAAGGAGTTTTGTTTCCCTATTCCAGCAAGACATCCTTGCCAATGGACATCCTTCCTTCGTCTTTGGATAGTTTTCATACACATGGATGTGTCCCCCAAGCACCAATCGACAGGGTTTCCGTCGTGGTTTCTTCGCTCAAACAGCTGTTCCAAGGGCACAAACATAAATTGATTGCACCTCAAGTGACCGTTGCTGCCGATGGGTCCATGATCGTCCATGATGGTCCATGGGTACCCCCCATTCAAGAAACACACACACACACAACGCCGTCCTCCATTGGCCGGAGCAAAAGCTTCACTGGGCTTCTTGTCCTGGACATGGAAGGCGCAAAACCTGCTTTAAACAAAGAAAAAAACCAAGGCCAACAGGCCTACAACTTGGTTTCAAGGGATGCTCACTCCCAACATGGCATGCACGGCACTGTTGAGGTTTGGCCTATCATGGCCTATCCTTTAAGGGCAAACGTCCATGTCGTGAGCTCCCCAAGCCCAGGCGAAGTCATCTACACTTGTACCCTTCTCAGGCGCTTGTGTGGGCCAGCCTCCTCCCTTGCCAACACACACACCTGCATGAATCCGTACCCTTGCTTCACGAGAAGAAGGGACTACCCCTGATGGTGTGCAGAATCGCCGCAGCTTGCCAGGAAACCTATTGGCCGACCAAACCAGTGGAAGCTCCGAAGCTCCAAAAGCCATCCGAGACTTGTGGTTAGACCCTGAGGCCCGGAAGGGCTGCGGGGGCGACTTTTAGATCTGCACAATCGGATAGCCACTGATTCAAAGACTTCGCACTGGCGCAAATAGAAGTAAGGATGCGCTGGCGCATGCGCGCATGCGCATGCCTGGAAAAGGGGGCTTCTCAAACTGAGCTGTGGCCAGTTTGAGAAGCAACAGCATGTTCACCAGCAAACTACGTCTGGTTTTTGTGCATGTTCCGCCCATCCACGTGGACGTCGCGCCAGACCGCGGTCCGCCTCCTTGTGATAGCCGTTGGTCCCATTCTCATCCTCAGACCCACGGGTCGAGTCCACGGGGGTCATCCTTCGAAACATGTGACCTTCACGTACCCAAAGCAAACTGAAAGGCTTGGGATCTCCTATAGTCTGTGTTGGCGGTTTTTTCTTCAACCAGGAGTGGAGGGTCCTTTTGTCCATTGGTTGGGCATTTCCTTGGGGTGTGAATCCGCCGTGGCATTCGTGCGATTCGCCCTAGCTGGAAGATCGTGAACCACCTGTCATTATGGCCCACATGCAGGTCGTGCACCCAAGCAGGCGGAGCCCATCGGACGATGATCCGCGTCTCTTTGGGTCTCAGCCGGACCAAGCCGGTCGACTCGGAGCCGGGCCACTCCAAGGTGCTGCAGCCGAGCCTGCCGTTGGAACGCCCGAGGACGGGTACCGGCAACGGAACATGCGCACACATGGGCCATGAGCTAAATCATGGGAATGGTCATTGAATAGTACCTGTTGGTCATGTGTAGGTAGGTCGAACGTTCTTCTAAAGGGCTTCGAACGTTCTGCCCTTGAACCCGAGTTGTTTAATGTAACATTATATATATAAGGTTTCAATAGAGTTTTTTGAGGATTCATTGTTTTCATATTACACTGGCCAAACAAAAGTTGTGCTTCTTGAGACACAAACTCATGTCTACCCTTACCCCCTAGAATCCTACATTGAGATACCTGGGGCCGTGTGGGCGGTCATTTTTCACACCGGAAAGACTTTTATTGATATATATAAACGTCTTTAAAGCGGTGTGATCATTGACCGTCCCACACCTGCCACGCAAATTGGACTTGGAAAAAATCAATCCGCAGCTGACCGTACAGCGTTTTTTGAACATGGTTAACAAGCATAAATAATGATCTGCATATGGTACACTCTACACATGATTAAACATAAAACAATATATGATAGTACTATCATGTATTATGTAATATCTATAGACAAAGTATATACAGTTCACACGATTGTACGAGCATCCTCCACATGGTTCACACACGGTGCGCCGGTGGTTTCCGCGGACCGGGCGGGCTTCCCACGGATCTAGAGTCTGGGTGGGATTGTGCGGGAAGGGCATGGTCACCCGGGTGTCCAGAAAATGAATTCAAACACACGATCTGGACACCCAGGCGTCTAGGACAATCTGTACTTTAGGCTTCAGTATACTCTGAAATCACATGAAACAACCTTAATGTCGAAAATCGATACCTGACCTCCCAAATCGGGAACTATCTGCATCATGCCCTTACTGACTCGAAAAGGAACAAAAAGCTACGTTCGGGGCTCCTGGTATCGCTACTAGGAGCAAGGATGCTACGTTCGGGGCTGGCCTTACTAGGAACAAGGTTCGCTAGAAAGTCTGCACTCCACCGACTTGCTTCAGTCCGCAGTCACTCCACCCGACCGGGACCGGACGCCCCGCTCCTCGGTGTGCGGGGCGATGATCACCACCAGGGATCTCACTTGGTTCGGCCGCCCGAAGACCTGGACGGTGTGCCGTCACAGGACGCCGTGGCGGTTTAAGACAGGGGGCATGAAGACAGGGGTTGATGTGGAGCCTTCATGATGCTCAAAGTCATCTAAATCATTTAAGGTGGACATGCATGACGAGGCTTCCAAATGAAGCGACGACCAATGTGGCACCCTTTTGAAGGGCCATGGCCTTCACACATTTGTCCTCGCCATACATCACAATCCGCGCGTCGCCTGAGGTCGCAAACGGTTGCGGGATGGTGGTGTCCCAAAACATCAAGTTAGTGCACTGCAACAGCTAGTGGAGGGAAGTTTTCACCAAGTTGGTCATCTCTACTGCGACAGATTACGACAGGGCTGCGCTCTGCAAGGACAAGCAGCCTCAAACAAATATACCATAGGCTCAAAATTGTTTGTTAGCAAAAGGAGGAAGAGTTTGCGCAAGATCATCATCTATAATATCAACATATATCAACGAGTATATGAGACACTGTAGCCCCAAACAAACATTAACACCAGTTCTTCTAATAGACATCCAGCAAATACCAGACGCTTCCCCCGACATTCAGTAGATGTTCAATCCGATCATGAAACCAAACGAGGAGCTCTCTGCGATCGCGTCCGACGATGCGACGACCAATGCGGAGGGGGTCAATCCAGTGAGCTCATGTTCATCTCATGTTCATCACCATAAGTGCTGCTATAGTTCATCTCAAACTGCAACTAGAATACGAGTACAGTAGCTTCTTAAAACTTGGACATGAATTGCGAAACACCACAACACCGCCAAGAAGTGAGCCGTACGCTCGTTCGGCCGTGCGTTCTTCTGAGGTACCGACTGCTGGGTTGTTGCCAAACTTGCGCGCCATCGGGTTCCAGGCTCGCCTGGTCAGGAGGTTTTTACATCCACGACTTTCAGGAAGTCATTCAACCTGGTAAGAAGAGAAGGATCAGTTGCAACTGAAGTTGCAACAGCGATGCGACTTTCAGATCAGTTGCATTCAACAGGTGTACCGAGCTGCTGGACCACAGCACCGGTGCCGAACACGAAGCACTCACGAGGCTTAGTAAACGATTCTTCTGCTTCGAGTGTTAAACCAAAACATCTCGAAACAGTCGCAAGAGGCCACATGACATGCCAAAAACGCTCCATTTGTCCGCTGTTGCCGTTGCTAGACACATGCAGACACAGCACCGAATTCGGTGGCGGGGGCCACGCGCTTCAAACAGTTTTAAGCGATTTTGGTGGTAAACTCAGGGGCGTGTCCCACACTCAGGCACACCTCAAAATTCCACACATCTTTACGCTACACTGTTACACTCTCAAATCAACTTTCCTTCGGGGAAGTTGGAAGCCCAAGATTCTTCCATTTTGGAACTTCCATATGCAACATGAGGATTGAAACCAAAGGATTTGAGACTTCCAATCCTTCTGTTCAAGGCAAAGGATTGAGACCAAATCGTCTGAGAAGAAACCAAGAAGCCCTAGGGTTTCTCGGTTTCGTTCGGGTGTTTCTGATGATTTGGGATGGGTTTGGAGAGTCTGACCTTCTGAGTAAGCCTAGGCGGTGTAAGCGCCGGTATCAACGTTTGAAGCTCCCTCATGCGTTTTTTTTTCAAGCATGTTTTAATATGTATATAACCCAAATTCCCTAAATTCCTATGAGGTTTGGAGGATGTTTACCCTTCCCAATGGTCCAACTGATTTTTGCCTGGGCCTATCGCCTACACACCAAGATTCTCCAAAGTGACTGACCACATCAACAAGCTTCCCCGCATGGTACTATTCCACAAAATCTCTATATTGCAACTATGGCTTGGTTGAAGAAACTGGTAGGTGCCCGCTGCGTCAGGACATGGCACATCTGCTCAATACTCCCTCCAACAAACATGGTTACATGGACAAGCCCATGTTTGCTATTCGCATGGTCTTTTCAGGGGTCATGTCATCCACTTTGGCCCATGAACTCTTTCAGGCCAACTGAAACCTGTTCTTAACCTGTAGCCCATATATGCATCGAAGTCTGACCCCGCGGCAGTTTTCGGCCGGCGGCTCTCGCCGGCCGCCTGCGAGGTGCTCGGCGTTCTGAGGATGGCGACCACCGAAAATGCCCAGTGCCAAACGACCGTGTCGACCCGATTTCTCCGCTCCGGTGCGTGACGACCACGGTGGCCGTGACGTCCTACGTCTGTACAGGGTCGCAACGCGAGTCATTAAGCACCTGGTGAATGGGATCTTGGCACATAGGGCCATGGGAACAGAAGTCTTGGAAGTTGTCAGGATCTGAGTCAAATTATTGGAACTGGATGTTTCATGATGTTTCTCGTGATCAGGATTTGCTGAACCGCAAAAAATGGCTAGGGACTTCCTGCACCAGACCGGACACCTTCCCATTCTATCCCACTTTAGATCCTTCTCACGGTGCTAATCACGTCACACTGGATGCTGGATGGATGTCTCTGTTCGAGACATCCATGGAACATTCCAGTGGAAGGACGACGTGAAACAGCGAGAATCTTAGATGTGAGACCGGTGCTCCTTGAGATCAACGCCCGAGTTGACAGGGTGGCGACCGAACTCTTGGGCCGACAGACAGAGTTCCAAAAGGGTTCCGATGCGATGCGTCCGTTTTCACAGAAGTGTCATCACTTGGATTGCCAACTGCACCTACCGCAACGGGCCCGAGCTCGACCTCTCCGCGGTCGTGATCGGTGCCAGGGTCCACCCTTTGACAGCTCGGCACTGGTCATGGGCAGAAGTGACAAACCAATTTGGTGAGTTTCACATGCTGCTTTGATGTGAGAAGCGGTGCTGGACGACACCGTGCCTGATGTTCTCAGCACAATATCACTGGCTACCGATGAAACTGGGCTCGGCTGCACTGTCACAAGTGTGGGGGAACACCCACGCCAAACGCGCAGACTCGATCTGTAAGATTGTTTGTGGTGTATTGTTGTTGTGCTTGGACTATTGAATCTGGGAAAGACCTTAGATCAGGGCTTACGCTAGGTTAAAAGGGTCAAATACCCCCTCTCTGCGACAAATGAACATGTCAATATGATCGATGTCCCCACACCCTCCTGGCTTTTTTCCAAAACCCCAAACCCGAAGTCATCGCTATGCCATGTCTTTGGACTCTTTAGGATACGGACTCACTGGACGGTCAGCCAAGCCCGTTTTCGGCCTCTTGGCCATCGCTGCCGGTTCCACCGTTCCGCGTGTTGCGAGCGCCACGAGGTTTTCGTGGCTCGAGTAAACGGAACCGCGGTGAGATTCGCGGTTGAAGGATGCTGAAGTGACCAGGCCTGGTTGAAAGACCACAAGTATTCGAAGTATTGCTATCAATTAGGGTCACGTTCAGATGTAGGAGCTGCGGGGAGGTGTCGAGAATCCTATCATCTACCTCGATCATTATACCCGGACTTCTGGTACAACCATCAGAGGGTTCAGCGCTTTGTCACTGGGTTCCCTCTGTCGATGATTTCACAACCAAAGGCGGTGGTCTTCATGACCCTGAGACAAGAGACATCTTTACCCACATGTCACGTACCCTGAGAAGGTGTTGGGGAGTATAGTCTGGAGGTGGCGGCACATACAGGGAACGATTGAAATATACGGATCTATACCGTCCCTATAGGGACATCCACCAGCGCCGCTGTAGCACTGTGACGCATCTTGACCACCCTGTAGCCCAGCACGAAGGCAATCTGCAACATCGAACATGCCACTCGTTTCTTTCCCGAATGCCTTTCGCAACATCCAACATGAATTTGGCCCAAGCTACTAGGAGCAAAGGGCATCGCTACTAGGAGCAAGGACGCTACGTTCGGGGCTCCTGGCATCGTCTACTAAGGGCTACTAGAGGCCTCAAATCTCTCCGCCCGAGCACTCGAGGGCAACGGATCTGCGGCATGCCCCGGCGTTATTTGGCTCGGGGCATCCGGTGACGTGGAACACGGCGCGCTTCCGTGGACTGGTAACGCAGGGTGCCGTTGGTAGATCAGCCACGCTCTTAAACACTGAGAATCAAATGATTTTGAGTTTTGCAATGTGAGAAATCCGGGTGGCATTCTTTTTCATGTGGGGTTACGATGGATGAATATGGATTACATCACTTGTTTTAGTTCTTGGAGTGATTTGGTGGTTGTTGACAGGAATTATCGGAAGGACCGAGAGCAACCAGGGAAACAACACCATAAGCTTTGCAAATCCGAAATCGGTTGGCATTCCTTCCGTGTTCAAACCATTCCTGTGACAGGTCTTTAATTACGGTAGTTACGCACAAACCTGCCATGTGATTTGGTTGACCAATGGTGACCAAGGGGATGTAGCTCGTTGGCTCCATTCATTTGGGCAATATGGACCTCCACAGCTTAGGGCTCCAAAGAATACAATCTCTTGGTTGCCCTTGATCCTGCTGCTGGAGTGTGGGACAAATGATTGATCACGGTCTGAACACGCTCACTTTGCAGTATTGTGTAAACAAACTGTTGCTGATGACTCTCCACACGGCAAATCCAAACACACACACACCTCAATAACTATGTAACTATCTCTTGAGTACAAGGTAGAACCTGGAGCAACGTGTTGTGGGGCAATTCCCTGGTTGAGCAGGTAAAGGATCGGTTTGCAATGCAGTAACTGTGGTGGCGGTGGTATGCCTTAGCGTTTGGCATTCCCAAGAAGGGAAAAGGGGTGCAGGGTATTCTTTGTTGAAGTGGATTTCAAACCAGGTTGAAGTAAAATCCAAGGCCTTCCCAGCCCAACCACACCGTTGCACTACGTCTGTGACTCAAAATATGTCAAAGACTTCGCGACTCCTTAGGCCTTGTAGCCGCCCGTCAACCTGCCTGCTTCAGGCTCGGGCATCTGCACCGGGATATCCTTGGAATCCCAGGACCAAGGCATCTCCTGCCATTTTCGATCGAGATTCGACACAGCGAGTTGCGTGGCAAACGAACAAGCCTTCAGATGGATGGGGTTGCGCCTCAAGAACTCCAAACAATAACCAAGCATTTAGTAACCAAGCATTTAGGGTTTGAAGAACATGGAGCAAGAAACTTTGAGGGTCCGGGTTTGAGCTCTGCCTGCAAGGAACCTCTAGAGTTCTGGTTTTGGATGGTTTCGGCATGTTTTAGTGTTTTGACATTGAGCTTTTTTTGGTTCTAAACAATTGCTGTCTTTAAAACACGATCCAGCTAGGTAGATTCGTCACACTGAAAAACACCTGAGAACAACGAGTGGTATATCCGGCTATGTCCAAAGCTGCAGAACTCGGGTAAGAGTGACCAATCAATTGTCTACTACCTACCCTGACTATCATTGTACATCCTATAATGCAAGTGGTTATAAACATCTATACTGTGACAGTGCGTTCTTCACTGACCGTTTACACCTAATAAACCGAGTCACCCGATCGGAACGGTTTCACTCGCCCGATCGGTTTCTCCTGCAAGTTTTGCAGAACGCGCAAAACCTCAAATCTTCGTTCCTCATCAGCCGATCTCCCACTGACTCGCTTTGTCGCGGCCTCAGAACGGCAAATGAGAAATTGTGGGTCTACAAAGCATCACCCACATATATAGTTATTCAGGATCCAATTCAATTTTGATGTCCGGAACCCCTACTGGGACCACCTCGTTTGAGCAGTTCAGAGTCCCGCGAGCCGCCATCGGTTGCCAGATGGCGTCTCACCGGTCTCGCTGGTTTGCGTGGAGACCAGAAAAACGAACTCATTCGCTGAGTCCGTCTTATACACTGACACAACTACAGCAAAAATACAAATGTGCAGAATGTTCTGGGTTCTCCAAATGTTCCACCTTTTTCCATGAGACTCAAAGCGTTTTTTTTGTATGTTTTCACCACATCTGCCCCCACACCGACGAATGTCCCGAAGATCTGCGACGTCCCAGCGGCCAGTAGCGGCGGCACCGCTGGAGAAGTCACACTGGAACCTACCAGTGGGATCTCCATCTTGAGTGCCTTGAAGTTGCCTCGGCACGCGTGTTCAACCTGTTCGCTTCGAAAATCTTTTTTCTGCTGGGTTTCCTGAAAACACAACTCTGCTTTACAAGGAGTATGTTTCAATGGCATATGATCAAGGGACCTCATAAGCTGGAGTGGAAGAATCTAGAAATCTGATTAAATCTTGCTTCAACAGTGCTTCACGTAGGCTCAACATACGGTGAAATAGGCCAGAGGCCTAGACAGCACACCACCTGTAACAGGTCCCCGTCTTCACATCCTGTTCGGGCCAGTCCGTTGGGATCAGTTGGACAGATGTCCGGTTTCCAAGCGGCAAAGAGCCTCTGCCACCGCTTCGGGTTGATCCGGTGCACGCTTGGCCAAGATCTGAGCGGCCTCGATGGCCGACTTCTTCGAGGAGCAAGCCTCCTGACAAAGCCGGGCCGCACGACATGTTTTTGCAGGTAGCGTGATGGTCACATCGCTCAAAGAAGACACAGTACTTATATATTATGCATGTCCTTATTCAGGAGAACGCTGACAGCGAAAAAACACACAATACCATGGAGGTACATGAAGTGCTTCATCCACATTGCCCCCTAAATTAGCAGGGCCATCCCTTTTTTGGGACAAGAAGCTACAGTACGTTCGGGGCTCCTGGCCTCGCTACGAACGGAGCGTTCGGACGCTACGATCCGACCGGCGTCTCGGTGTTGACTCTCGGTCCTTGATCCAAAGATCAAAGGCAGCGGCATGCTTCTGGGCCGTTACCTCGGCACCTGGGACGTTTGTACGAGTCCATGTGAGCGGTCGAAACCCAGTCTTGGCCTGATAAAACCCTTCTTGGCCTGAAAAAGACCCTTGGATCATGTGGTTCTTTCATAGTATTGAACGCTGCAACGCTGTGGGTGTGCATGTGGTTCTTTTGGGAGACCCCCTGGCCCTGGCTGGGTAGAGACGCGGATCTATTTCCAATTCCAGGAGGCCTAATTGGAGGTCTCCCTATTGTAAGACACAACCATAATATATTTGGTATGTCATCCCATTCCCTGTAGTAGTGGATGATGATGGCTAGTAAAGGCCGACATCTCTAAAATAGTGACAATTGCTTACCGACTGTTAAATACAGGTTTACTGGGACGCCCCCAAGGACATGGACCGCTCCACAACCACGACAATTTAAAAGCATGGAGTGTCTGGGAATGGATGTCATCAGCTTGGGCGTCGTGTTGCTACACACCACATCATACCACGACAAAAAAGACTCGCACACATGAAAAATCTTCTTGCAAGAATGGCTCGTCTTTGATATGGCCAGCACATTTGGTCAGCACATTTTTGAGGAGGTGCCTACACATATATATGTGGCATCTGTTGCCCGGTGCTTTTTATTCAAAACAACGCTCTGGACGATCCACGACGAGGAGCTCGTCGGAGTTGCTTGGAGCGAGCGAAGCTCGTCCACCTCTGTGTCTGCCATCCTCTCATCTTCATCCTCCAGGTCGGTGTACTCGGACTCCAGGTCGCCCAGTTGATCCTTCTCTTGATCTAAGACACTTTGAAGGAGTCGAATCAATTTGTGGAACCTCAGGACCGTGTTCGCGTGTGCGGCTAGAGACTCTTGCCAGTGCAAACTATGCAGAACATGAGCAAGCAATGATTTTGGATGGGTAGTGTCACCCAACCACAGTTTCAAGCCATGTTCTCTCTATAGAAACCATCCATCCTGGATATCCCCAAATCATGCCATCGTTCGCTTGCTGTTTGGCACGTCCAGTCGTCCCCGTTGTCCTACCTCGGTTATCTCCCGCCTGATGATATCCTGGCCCAACAAGTCCCGATAGACCAGCAAGGTGGAATCCTCATCTTTAAAGAGCTTGACGGAGACGTGGAGAACAACTCCGTCCATCATGACGACGGCTTCCTGACACTCGGCCAGGAAAAAGATCCGAGATAGGAATGATTGGAAAGTTCAATCCCGTTGGCACACGTCTGAATGCCTCTCTTTGATACATTTAAATATATATTGAGGGATAGGTTAAAGGCCCAACCCAGCATTTTCCCAGCAGGAGAGAACAACAAATCATCTCAAGCAATCCCAAGTTTCCACTCGTGCATCAGTGAAATTTCTTGAGATGCAATGCTGATCTGTCAGGGCTTTCCTGAGTGAACGGAGCACAAAATTGGCGTAGACGGAGCACAAAGAGGAGACATTGCCGCTGCGGTTTGTGAATGGTTTCACCTTGATCTAGCCTGTTTTCATATGTTTTCATCTGGGCCTTTAGTTGGACAGAAAGCTGCGAGGAAAAAAAACACCTTGTCCTTCCCCCCAAATCTCCCCAAGTCGACGGTCTCCAGTTTGGATCACTCAGGACCGGTCAGTGCACACGTTCGGTTCACACCGATTCCTGTCATCCTCTCTTTCTCATCGGTCCTAATTCTTCCTCCGCCGAGAGGCGCAAGGTCCTCAAAAATTTCTGAAGGGCTCCTAGATGACCGACGTAGGACATCACCAGCAAGAGACAGCACCTGTAGGACGCTCCCGTCCCTGCTCCCGTCGATGTGACGACAGGTGTGCGGTCTCGCGACGTTTTTGAGCGGGCAACTTGGACGACTGGAGCGAGACGTTGGATGCGACGTCCGCGCAGAATTCTCAGGTCCGGCATATGACCGTGGATCCAAAGTCCCTTTGTATCGCCCAAACAACTTCGGACTTTCCAACAGTCCCATGAAGAAAAGAACATAAATGAACTATACTATCAAGATCTATGAAGTCATTGTCCAAACACATTCCCGGGATGACAATGCCTTGACAGATACCTTCTTTGAATGCGAACTATTTCTGGGATGGGCGTCCGCCCTGTTGGGCCCCAAGAGACCTTTCACATCCCAATGAGTCCACAACTCACGACTCCGAAAGAACACCGCATCGACGAGGCATCGACGAGGCGATGCAGCCGCCGAATTGGTGCCATGACAAGGCGGAAAAAGACACGTTTCATGGCCTATCCGATAGCCTGGTACCTTTCGTGGGAGGTGATGACGAGGAGGAGGAAGATCGGTGTTTCCGTTCCACCCGAAACGCCATTGGCCATGAATACATCCCCACTGGCCGCATGGAAGGTCTATGCCAACCGGCTAATATCTAGGGTTTGACTCAAAGTAGCGGGGCCTACAAACAAACAAACAAAAGAAAGAACGAACGAAAGAGAGTTCGGCCAATGGAAGGGAGTGATCTGGGTGGCGGCCAAGAGTTCTCCACACCCAGGTGATGTCATAATGGCCTCCAACCTAAGAGCGATGGCCTCCAACTTTAATTGAAACATAACTGCACTTTGAAACACACCACAATGTTACAATCAGCCTTGGCATGTCCTGACCCATCCACGCAGTCGCACAAACTGCCCACTCACCCAGTCTGCCCTGCCTCCGGTACCGCCATTCGCAAAGAATTCCCTAAAATTCCTAGCCAAATGGTAAGGCTGCGGCAAGAAAAGCGCTCTGAATCACCTCGCAATCGATCAAAGGACGACCCAACGACTACCCCTCAAGATGACGGTCGAAGCCCTTGGACCAGTTTGTGCTGCCTATCTTCGAGCTCGTGGCTCCTCATTCGCCAAAAAACAAAAAGCTCCCCCCGGTTCCACCTGTCACTCAACAAGCTGTTCCATCTGTCACCGGTCACTCAACAAGCTGTTCCATCAGTCTTGCCTTCCCAAGCTGTTGCTCCATCTTCTCCGCAAACTCTTGGGGACTGCAGCTGAAAGACCGCCTGGCGAGAAAGCGCACCCGAGCAGCAGGCAGCAGCTCGCAGCACCCGCGCCGTCACTACGCGAGGGTGCCGGGTGCACCCTGCATGAAAGCCACCAGTGGATCACATTGAGATGAGAAGAAAATCGCTTGAGGTGGTGAATGTGAGAAGAAATGTTGGACAGTCCGGGTCTCTGAGTCTTCGTGTGGACTCCAAAGAAGCATGAACTGGTCATTTGCATTGGTGGAAACCAGGGCCTCCTACTAAGAACTATATGATCTTCAATAAAAAGTGGCTGGTTGGATCATCCAACGACAACAGCTCTGCGTTGCCTCACTTTGTTTGTTGCCATCCATTAACGATCCTTTTGCGGATGTCTTAAGGTAGCACATGTTTGCTTGTAGGCTTCAGTAGCATTGGAATCTCGTGACGAAGAACATCCTGTATACTAGTAGACAGTATACAGGATTGAACTTTCCCACACATGTAAACAGCCTTCCTTTAGCCAAGACTCTCCACCACTTGCAGCTGACCCGCCTTAGCAAACGAGGAGATGTGGTGCAATAAAATGTGGGTTCTTTGTTTATGATTGTTTAAGTATACAATTCTGCAAGTATGTGGCAGTTTTTTTCTTCTGTGTTGTTGCTCTTGTCGCTGCACGTGGTGTAGGTGGTGGCCACATGTCAGTCGTCCTGCCGCCAATCCATGTGAATCGTCATGGCAAATAAGGACACCTATGTTTTGCTGACGAAGTCCGGCCACTATGAACAGTTGTCCTGACATGCATCACAGGAATGGTCCCGCCAGGAATGGTTGTACTACGACATCCTGACCTGTCCTCAGAAGCTCAGTACTATGAACATTCAGCCTGAATGACTTTTGTCAGCTGATCCTTGGACCTCCTGGACTTAGAGAGTCCGGTGCGGCATGTGTCCGTACCGGCAACCTTGACAAAACCGCAAACTCGGATGTCCGTATATGACCTGTCTTTCAATCGAGATGTGAAAAAAAAACACAACACATTGGCAACACACACCGAGATTGAAGCATTGTGTGCTTAATGGCTTCAACAACAAACAAACACATATCCACCAAGGCTGTACCAAATGGAATGTTTCGTAGACGAAGTGGGCATAATATTGGAGCTCCCCTACTCTTCTCTGAGCAAATACAGGATCTTGCTGGTCATCAAGACGTTCGTTAACTGCCATGTCCACTCTGAGCGCCACACACGTTCAGACGCCTGGCTGGGAACAAGCAAACCGAATTCGGTGAGGATAAGCAAACACAGATTGTTTAGAGCCTTGAGTGGAGCATCTGGAGGTCAAACATGTGTCGTCCGAATGTGCATACCTGCATCTTGTATTTATACTATATGGTTTAAGGTCACCAGGGGTTTGAAGCAGGCAACCAGCATAGTGGCTTAGAAGACCCCTAGGTTTCTACACTGCATCAGATTTGGCCCGCAGGAGACTCTGGACGTCTCCAAAGCACGACCAGCTCATCTGCTTTGCTCTGACTGGAGTTGCTCAAGTTTCAAGCAACTTCGATCGGCAACAGGCAAAGTGTAAACGTATTTCCTGCAATGCCTGCGACAAAGTCACACTATCCAACCGTGGCAATGGCTGATTTCCATGTAAGTCCCACTTACTTCGAAAGTCGTTGGACCCTCTAAAATCCTCTAAACCCACTTAAAGGGCATCGCTACTGGTAACAAATGGCATCGCTACTAGGAACAAGAAGCTGCTAGTAGCTCCTGGCTCCTGGCAGTACTACCAGAAACAAGAAGCTTCTAGTTCCTTCCCTTGAGGACCCACCGTGCCTTGCGCAAGCGCAGACCGCCCCCGATGCTGGGGCCATCGCTTCCGGCGGTGGTTCGCACCTGCCAAGGGTCGGATGGGATCCTTGGACAAACAGGTCCACTACGGTCCACTGCCAAGGAAATTCAGGGGTCACTCATCACCCGAATCTGGGCAATCATATTGGTTCTATTTCAACAAACAACGCATCATATTATATATCGTGTACATTATATATAATGCGTGTCCAATTGTGCTCTTGGAGTTGTTCAAACTTTTTCTGAGAAGCAAGTTGACAACACGCTTGTACACAGATGCTGCATGGTCTCCAGAATTCCTATACAACTTGGATCCCGACTTTGGCACGTTCCTCTTGTACAAAAAGGTTCTGTCTATATAGAATCATACAGAATATACCATGTGCATCCATGTGCACTCAAATATCACTAGACTAGACCGTATCACAGTACCCAGCACATTCTCATTGCTTTTGGGGTTCAAATCCGAGTCACAAACGTCGCTCGGAGCACGTCGACAGGTCCACATGGTCCATCGTTTCGTCACCCGGCTCAGCCTTCACTCGCCCGGTCCTTGTGGCGCTCAAAGGGAGCAGCCTCGGGAGCTCAACATCTCCGGGCGGCGGATGGTAGGTGTCGAAATTTTAGCCCTCAAATGGTAGGCGGATATAGGATGATTATAGGCAGGGAGGTATGGGAAATGTTGGAATTCACTTCGCTGAACATGGAAGCTGTGAACAGAGGTATGTTTCAGTCTGGCCGCACCAAAGGATTGAAACAGTGTCTTGATTTGTTGCAAACTGCTTCGGTCGGATCTGAGCAAGTGGCAAACCTCAAAACCTATGTGATAAAGGGCAGCCTGGGCATAGAGCGGGACAAAACAGCACAAATGACAGACCCACCAAAACTTTGAGTCTACTAGTAGAGTAGGATGCACTAGGCAAGTGCCCCAATAAAGATGCTTAAACACATCGTAAGGAAGGGTGTTTGGACTGGAGGAACACTGTTTAGTGATGGTTCATATTCATATTTATCTGCCAAACCCAGGAACAGTCATGAAAGCATAAGCAGGCCTTTACAAAAAGTCCAGACGCGATGCCCATGCGATGCCCGGAATGTGAACCCACACCCCAGGCCTCGATCTCTGGTCTGGGCACCCGTGCTGCGGTCCGTGGTAGGCTGGCATGCGCCAATCAGAGAGCTGCACCTCACGGGGCTGCAGTCTCGTGGACTGGGTGGCCGTGTATTTTGGGGTCCCTCTGGTTTGAGGTCGAGAATTTCCAGCTGACCACGTGAGAGGCAGTGACATGATGGAGAGGAGATGCCATTTTTCTTCCAGAATTCTTTCCATTGAAAGTGCGGAGAGGAGATCCCAAACGCAAAGAACCGCTCCACCGCTGTGCTCCACCGAACCCGCTTTCCCCCCCCCCCTCTGACCTCGCCCTCCTGGCGGAGGCAGCCGATCTTCATCCACTCGGCGGACTCCAGGTCGGCCTGCTGGGAATCCCACGACCCGGCCGGAGTCGAGCTGGTGGAGCGGACGGTCTCTGAAACGGCCCGGCTTCAGAAATGTCTGACGAGTCCAGGATGAGTTGAGTCATGATAGTCATGGTGTTTTCCAGAAAATCAAACACATAAGTGGTGGTCTACTGAGGTCTGAGGTTCAAGAATAGAAAGAACATATCCATGAGGGATCCAGGGTTGCACACAACCCTACGACTGCAAACACATCTGAAAAAGAAAACGACAAACAAGTATCAAACAATTAAGTTGAATCATAACCTTCTGACATTCTTTTAAAGGCCTAACCAAACCGGCCTTAAGAAAACATGAAGGTTTGAAACCTGAACAAAGCACACACTGAGATCAAGAAACTTGAAGGTGCTCAAACTCCTCCACCCATGGGTTTTTCTCCCTCTTGTTCGTGACCGGAGCCCGGCCTCCTTGCAGAGCCACTCGACCGTCATCTTCTCGCCGGAAAAACTGTATCGCAGGACTCCCACCTGGGTGGGGGGTGAGGAGTCGTAGCCTTTTTTTCAAATAATCTGAAAGAGAACCTAGGAAGATGGGCTGTGTTCAAAGATGTTCAATGCAGCCAATCTGAATTGAATGAGTCCACTTCACATCCCGAAGTGGATAATCATGAAGACATTCGCCACCCACAAAAATCAGTTCATCTTTCCAACCTGCCTATCCGGAGAGAAAACCCACCAGACTAGGTCTCCAGGCGGGATTAAAAGGTCTCTTCTCTGGGCCTCTTAAAGGTAAAGGCGCCACCTGAGCCCACTGTCTCGGCTCAAGGGGTCAGAGAAGGTGGGTGTTGCGTCCTCTTTGGGCGAAGCAAGTGGACCATTTGAAACAACGAAAAAATCAATGACCATTCAGGGCTCCCATTAATCCACCTGATAAGTTCCCATTTGACACCTAGTGAGCATCCTCATGCTTCAACGGATTGGATATGCCAAGACAAGTCTTCAACATGTGCATATCCACACGCAGTTGAACGTGGTGAGATGCTGACTGACGAAATAAACATCCCAGCAACTGTGACAAAGAGGGAGGGGCGACGAAAAGATAAAACAGGCGAGGTGCTTGAGCATGTTTCAAACGTGTTCCATGCTCTACAAGCCGAGCATTCCAAACACCATTTGCTGAAGGGCAGCGGAACAGGAGAGGTTTCCTTAATGAAACTGAGTGCATTTCAAGATGAGGATCCAAGTAACCGTGCATTGAGTGGGTGGGCAAATGTAGGAGTCAGTAGACTAGACCCTACAGCCAGGACAGCAGGACGGACTTTAAGATCTTTAAGACTTTAGACCCAAAACTGGAATATGGATCTCAGGCTTTATGAGCCGCTCTTTCTGAGTTCCCCCTCCAAAGGTATGAAATCACCACATAACAACTAACCATCAACCCCTGCTTTCCAACAGAAAACACTTCTAGAGCACCCCTGAAACAGCACAGAGCCCCGGACGCGGTCGCACAGCGGCATCCGCACCACTGCACGGCTGCTGTAGGCCGCGTCACCCATGAAGCTATGCCATCTCGACCGAAGGGATGGGGCGATGCCGAAGGGAGAGCCGGGTTGGTGGCAAAGGCACTCCCAGAAAGAACTCGTACGGATTCTTTCGTACTTTCGGGCGTAAATCAACCAGGCCCACACTTGGTGTTGCTTCCATGCAAGAACGTGTCTGCACATGAGAAGAAGTGTGCTTTTGGTCTGCTTTACACAGTTCCAAATCAGGTTAAACACCATCCAAGTTGTCTATAGAGTCCCACATGATGGTCAATCGGATTCTCAACGGTCCTTTCACATTTGGACCCTTGGGTGAGCGAATTTTGAGAACCCATCTGCACAACGGTGGATGGACCTTTGCCTCCAGGTGTAGTTTTCACATCGCTTCCAACCACTAGTTGCAAGAACATGCAATAAGTATGCATAGTTTGCTATTATACATGGCATCTTTTGAGGAAGTGGTCTTGACTATCTACCCTAGCACACTGGTTGTTGGTGATTTCGTGATACTCTAAAATGATGAAAATCCCAACAAAGTCGGAGTTGTCCATGGTCTGGTTTGGCCAAAGATACATAAATTACACACACATGTTCCTCCGCAAAACAAGCCACACAAACGCATTAACTCAGAGTCAAATGAGATAGTATCCCGTGCTTCGATACTTACTTGGAAAAAGAAAGCACAACAAAACACAAACACACACACAATGCTCTCCCAGTGCCCCGAACTTCCAACCAAAGCTCCCAAGAAACCGCCGAGCCGCCCATTGGAGGCGTTGGACTTTTTCAGCTCCGCCTGGGCGACAGCGGCGCAGACCGGTTCGTAGACCAAACAAATGGCAGACCAACGGTGACCATATTGAGAGGTGTCAAACATCTCTACAGATAGTAGCGGTGCCAGTAGTTGCTCAGTGAGTGGCATATGTGGGCATGTATCACGCAAAAATTGTTTCTTTGGAGCGTCATCTCTGTCTATCCAGCGGGGTGAGACGATTGTGATGCCTTTTTGCCTTCCTTCCTCAAATCAGTCATCCAAAGCTTCATCGGAACGGACCACTTGGCTATGTCGTGGGTCCGGTAGCTGGAGACAAGCGGTGACCTCGAATGAAGTGGAAAACATCTCTACATATCCCGATCTATACCAGCACCACCCAAAGGGATCCCAAGTGTGGTTAAGTTATATACGCTTATATAATTAATAATGTGTTGGTTTTGCTCCTTTGGGCGTGTTTGTTGGACCGTGTTCGTTGGACCAATTCATCGATTTTGCAGATCATCGAGGGCGCGCTCGGATCATCTGCGTCGACCGGTCAACCGTGGGGGCCCCGCCTCCAACTCGGCCAGGGCCCCGCCCTCTGCCGAGGCGGTGACCAAGCGATTCACCAGGAGATCTCTCACCTCGATGCGGCAGACGTCAAGCAGTCGTCACATGTCAGCAGTCATGCGGCCTGCTGGCTGTACTGGGCAAAGAAGGCTTACAGCTGAACAATACAATAACCAGTCAATGGTCGTTCTAAGATATGTTCTAAGAGTTTCTAAGATATTCTAACATCAGAAATCACAGTTCCAGTCTTCGTTGTCGCCTCACAGGATCTTTTGCAGGCCTGCAGTTATTGAAGCTATTGACAATAGAACCTTGAAACACATTGGTCTTGTAGAGGAAACTGGTCCTTGTAGAGGGTCTCCATTCAGGTTCGTTTCTTGGAGCGGTGACATTAAAGAAGTTGGGCTCCGACCTGATGGGATCCGAAGTACCTGTCTCCTCCTGTCTCCTCCCGCAAAACCATCCGATGCGCTGCCCGGTGGCGCGTAAAGCTCGGTCGGCATCGGTCAGAATGCCCGGCCAAACCAAGCGCAAGGAGAGCTTCCTGCGAGCTGCGACACCAAAATGACTCGACTGGATAGATGTCATAGGTGTCCAGTCGATCCGGTCACCACTCGACGGAAGAGTTTCCATGAAGAGTAGAGGTCTATATCATTGCTCATGAATCATTTTATGGAGTGTCTGAAAGGTCGAGTTGTTCTGTGTGTCTTGCGATTCCAAGGCGGTTGAAAAACATGTCCCAAGCACTTGGGCACTGGGAGACCACTTGGTCACATTCGGGAGTGGTCAGACCAGCACGTCAGTCGGCGACACCCACCAAATCTGCCCACGCCGTGGGCTTGGCTAATCGTTTTCTGTCGCTCAAGGGGAACAACTGGCCTGTTTTTTTTTTTTCCCGACAAAGAGGGAGTGGTCATGTCTGCGCCACTGCTCCCACGGCATGCCAGCTGCTGATTCTGCGCTAAGGGCTTCAGAATCTATGGCAAACCCGAAAACCAACATGGAAGTGAAAAAGGAACACCTTGGTTTTGTAGATTAACAAAAATCTTCCAAAGGGCCAAGGTCATCTCTCTGCTCTGGATCTTTAGAAGTGAGAGGTCCCAGGAGGGTCGAGTCCTGGCCTTCCCCGACACCGAGTTGTTTTTTCCAAGGGATGCTCGATTTCTGCGAACTGCCCGTTTGGCAGCTAGAGAAACTTCAAACTCTTTATGTCGAGCGTTATTGAAAGCGGACCCGTCAATTCTGCCGAGCGGCATGGATGATGGATCTGGAGCTCTTGTGCCTCGAAGCGCATCTTGGGTAGGCCCGGCACGCGGAACTCCGTCGCTCGTGACGAAGGACCGAAGCCTTGGAGGACTTGCTCCAGGTGCCTCCGGGACTTCCGGGCCACCCAGTTCTTCAGGTCCATGGCTCGAGGTGGGTCACGAAAAATCAGCTGCACGCTGCGCACGGGAAAGCCCCCGGTGGTACACGGCTCGTGAAGCTGCAAGGAGATGTAGTCGATCTGCTTGAGGAACCGATCCACGTCTGCGGCACGCCAGGTCTCGCCAGGCCGCTGCTCTGGCCGAACCGGCGACTGCTCGAAGCTCCTGCCACTCGAAGAGTCGCGCCCGTCGCCGCGGCGCACGCGTCGCTCGCGGGACGAGTGCGAGTGGCTTTGGCTGCGGGAGTCGGAAGCAGCGAAGCTGCTGCGTTCCAGGAAAGGAGAAGCGACCAAGGGGCAATGCTCAGGGATGCGGTGCATCTCACCCTCCAGTCGACTCATCCCAATGAGGTGTCTTGTAGTGCCAATGAGACCTCCTGGCACGTCCACATGAAAGAGTTGTGCCTCAAAGGAATGGCCATGACAAGTCTTCATGCGAAGGTGGAGTGAGGATGGAGCTTGAGAGCTGCAAGCCAAGAATAGGGCAAACCTCTCCTGATCTTCTTTCCAAATGAAGGGTAGTAATGGCAAGGTCGGTGATCTGGCGTCCATCTTCGTGGGCAAGTCTTCCTCTGGATTCCGGATTTGCAGCAAGGCCAAGATGCTCTGTGATGGCTCCAAAATCTCCCACGTCTCCGTGAGCTGCTCACAGCAGTCGCAGGTCACGGACAACAGACGTCGAGCTGCCAATAGCGTCTCCTGGGTCTCTCGGGTGTCTTGTTCCCTCCGCTCCATCTGCTCTTCTAAATCTGTGGCTGTCTTCTGGAGCTGGCCCAACAAGAACTCCAAATACTTTAAAATCCTCACTCACCCGAAGCTGAGAAATGAAAAACGTGACCCTTTCGAACGAGTACCATACTTAAGACTACACTAATGGCCCGAGAGCGTTTGGGTGTAGAGTTACTGTGGTGTGAGGTATAGCTGCATTGCGATGTCAGTGCAGGAAATTGAGTGTGAAAATGAAAGAGAGGGTGAGAACAGGATGAGATGAAAAGGATGTTCACAGGAGGAGGGAAGCAAAGATGTCGTCCAGTCGATGTTCATGCAGGTTTGTGCGCGTTTTTGCAGAAATATGTTTGGATTCAGGTCCTGCCCCAAAGATGTTTTCAAGGCGATGTTTAAGCAGTTTCACATGGCAGAAGAACGTGTGGGTTCAGGCCCTGCCCCAAAGATGTCGCCAAGGCGATGTTTAGGTTTTGCTCACGTTTTTGCAGTACAATGCGCTTCCTGGTCATTCCCCAAAGAAGACTTCTAGTTCATGTTCATGCAGCAGGTTTGTGGGCATTGCTCCAGCAAAAAGGGTGGAAACAGGCTTTGCCCCAAAGATGTTTCACACTTCATAGCACATATTGACAAATTGCATGCAATATTGCCGCGGGCATATCAAAATCGAAGTATTCTTGCAGTCTTTGAATGTCTTCGACACTTGACACTCATTTCGTGCCACAGGGCTGCTGCGGAAACATGAAAATCGCAACATTCCCTATACCCCTTGACTGTCCCTATGGTCTGTGGTAACGCATTTTGTATAGGCTCTATGGTTATGAGATGTATATAGGGTGTAGGAAAAGCTCACTATAGAATTGTGTGTTAAGGAAACCACAGGACAACCATGTGTTTGTATATGTAAGCCGTTACAGACTTAAACAACAAGAAGCATATATACATAGGTATGGGCCAACAAATCACGGATTTATTTAAAATACATGTTCCAACCTTCTGAAGATTCAGTAGCTTAAGAAATGGCCCTATACAGAATGCATGCCCCAGCGTTTATGAAGCTCCATGTTCAATCACCTTCACAAGCGGCGTCCCAACAGTGATTCTCTCTTTTGATGACAGCCACAGATCTTTGCATACCCTAGCAAGCAAAGAACAGCATCAAACTACCAGAAATTGTGACTTTGTTTCACTCCTCCAGCCGAATCTTTCCAGCTTGGGTGGCAATCACCTATCAGCTTAGGAAACAAGCAAGGAAGCCAACCGACCATCTCCCCTCACTAGCCCAAATGTCAAGCCAGCATCCACCAAAATATTACAACCTATCTTCCCCACTCTCCCCTCACTAGCCGAGCAGTGAAGCCAGCACCCACCAACACTGATCACCCAAGAAGCCTCTATAAATTGCCGTGTTAATTCAGGTCTGGGACCCGCATTTTGTCCATGGAAGCTTCTGCTTCTTCGGCATCGGATTTATACTACTTGGTTCCTTTACCTTTGGGATTCTTGTTTTGTAAGTATTTCTTTTTGGTAGTTTTGTTTCAACAAACATGTTGTTACGTAACTAGATCTATGTTTGATGCTATTTAATTCATCTTCGATTTCCATCATGTTCCTGAACTTCCCGATGTGGCAGAGCGGTTCAAAACATGCTATTTAATTCATCTTCGATTTCCATCATGTTCCTGAACTTCCCGATGTGGCAGAGCGGTTCAAAACAGCAGCGTTTGTTTTGTTGTTTTTTTTTAAATAAAGTGTGTCTCCAAGATTACCTCAGCTTTACATACATCCAAAAGGCGTTTATACACAATGCGTGCTCCAACACTCACATAGCCTCAACATCCCAGCTTACCTTCCCCTGGGTTTATACAGAATGCAAATCCTATCAAATCCTAAACCTCTATGATTCCTGTTTGCATGGTCCAAATATGTCCAAATCAAATTGCCCAAGCCTTTCCTTAGAGTTTTTATGACATGTACTGCTTATCCAGTATTATATAGATGCAAAGGTTCTACATTTCAGAGTCCAACAATCAAGCCTTATCATTCCCTCAGTTTTTGACACTTGACCCCTCATTTCGTGTGACAGGGTTGCCGCCCTATACTAAGTTGTTGACACTCGACCATCATTTCGTGCGGAGGTTTGCCGCGCAAATCAAAATCACCACAGTTTTTGACGCTTGACACTCATTTCGTGCGAGAGGGTTGCGTTTCGTGGTGACTTGTCGGCACCACCTTGTTCTAAGAAAGAAAGACAATATTATAGCAAAAAGAGAGAGAGAGAGACAGCGAGAGAGTCAAACAGAAAGAGAAAGAGAGAGAGAGAGAGGCAGAGAGCGAGAGAGAGGGAGATGTGCAATGTGAAGATGTGCATGTCTGGATATGTACGGATGTCAAGATGTGAGATGTAAAGATGTCAAGATGTGCTGGTGTGGAATATGCGGATGTATATAAGTTGTGATGATATGCATCGTGCACTCGTTTTTTTAAAAGAAGAACCCTTCGCTCAGGCGCTCTCGGGGGAAAAACAGCAAAATTGTATAGGCAGGACACAATTCGGCTAAATGGAGAACTGAGCATCAATAGGAAGAAAAAGCAAGACATCGCTTCATTCATCAAGAAGAGTATAACCTCCAAGGACTGCTCCTTGGAGCCCCTCATCCATCCGCCCATCCGCAGCCCTACACCCAAAGGCATCATCGCAACTCGTAGGGCGAGGCCAAACCAGGGATCGCCAATGAAGAGATGTACTGCCAGGCAAATGAGGGAGAGACCATGCTGGAGCTCGTGGGGGTAGTGGACTTGACACATGAGTGAATAAAAGACTGAAAAGCTCGAGTTGAGTCTTTGTATCCACAAGCAGGCTTGCGGCGCTTGCGCGGCTGGCTGGCAGGACCATCGGATGAAGATCAGCCCCAAAAGGTTCGGACAGAGCTGCCAGTCTTGCGACATAGGCGTGGACCACCCAGCCGGGAAGCAAAGCCGCAGCAACAAATAGATCAAATTGTAAACCTCAAAGGTTTTGAGAAAGACCACAATCCAGGTGGGTGTGAACTTCTGCCGGTGCTGCCACACTTTTCGCTGTAGGCGGTGATCCAGCCCGAAAAAGGGCAGACAATTGGCATAGGCCTCTTGGAGACTGGGAGTGTTCAAGAACCAGGCTGCTGATCCATAGACAAGCAGCCAGGTGCAAAGCAGTCCGACCTCGTCCATGAAGTGCTCTAAGACTTCTTGTCAGAAGCGCTGGAATCAAGACCAACTGGGCTTGAGCCGCCGCCCCGGCATTGAATACCGACCTGAAAGTTCGTCACACAAACCACCATCAAACACCCATCAAATGTGTTTCCAGTTGCCTCCAGTTTCCACCGCTTCGTTCGAGTCGTTCCTCCGAAACCGTGACACGGGAGATCAGGGCCTCCATGGGACCGACGGTTTGTCCCGCTTTTCCCAGTGGCCGATCGGCGGCGTCACCGTCACCGTGCTCACCGTCACCGTCACCGTCCGCCTGACGCCCTTCGTCTGCGAGAGGCCCGTGGCGTTGTAGACGGCCACGTCCAAAAAGCCCCCGTGGCTCGGGAATACCTCTCCGTGGCTGGGAGATCGAGCTCCGGGGAAGAGCGGAAGCATCGGAAGACGAAAGAGAGGGGTTGGAGGAGAGTCTCTGTCCAGGGGATCCATGGTAAAAACATGGAATCCATGGGATTTAGTGGTTTGGACATATTTGGACATTCATTCCTTGTGTGCCATGGTGGACATGTCAGAATTCGTTGGGTCAACTTAAAATAAATCAGCCTTTCTGCGGCATGGGCCTAGAAACATGAGTGACCCTGGATCTTCAAGTCATGGGAAGGGATCTTGATCTTGACTTACAACGAGAATCGCCATCAACGTCGTGCAGGAAAGGTGGAGTTCGATGGGGGTTCGTCTTGTTTCTCAGAAACGTCGTTTCATGTCGATTCTGGACGTCGTTTCCAAGATCCAAGATCCATGGATTCATGTCGATGGTTTTGAGCTTTCTCAGAAACTCCCGAATTCTCCAGCTTCTCCATGGTCGACTGGTGGTTTGACTGGTCTACTGCTCCAGAAACACAGACGTCTGACGTCGCCCACCTCGCCCACCACCGTCCCAATGAGTCGGGTGAGAGCCGAATCCTGCGGACTGGAGGACGGTGCGTGTTTTTTTTCAAGGCGGAGAACGTGGTTTTTGGAGCCCACGTCCTAATGGGTGGACCAATTGGGGTGGACTATAGTTGAAATGTGTTGAAATTAGTTATACCATCAAATTCCAGTGCGAGGTCAGACTCTCCCGACTTCTAAACACACGAGATGAAGACTGAGCAAGTGGAAGAGACCACCAAGCACAAGTGCTTCTTCGCCAACCCAAGGGATCAGCTTTGGTGAGGCTCTCCTGTTCCCTTTGCCTGTCCCCTTTCACACAGCGTCGAACTGCCCTCCCTTGCGGCCCCTTCTTTGGATCTGATCATCGAACATGGCAGTAGGTCTGACCATCGTCACACGGGATCCATTGGCTTCGTGATGTTGCTGGAAAGTACCAATCAAACTCCCATCAGCCGGATGGCATGGCCACGAGATCTGATGACGAAATCCGAAGACCAAACAGGTGGTGAACTCCACTTCCGTGTTCATCCGTCGGAGTGCAACATTTCTGAAACGCTTCCTGTGACTTGCACATCAAATACTGGTATGTCAAAAGGACGAACGGCTATGTTATATCCTTCAAAAAAGAAACTTCACAGGTTTTGGCTACAATGGAATTCGTTGGTAAATCAACCAAATTTGGGGGTCAACTCACATCATTTCTCCAAAAGATTGATAGTTGGCTGCTAGATTCGCGTACATTTAACTATTGTTTTTTTTAAATGTAGGGGTTGTTCACCTCCGTTACCAGTTAGCCCGAACATTCAATTGCCCAAAAATCCAGACCATGTTACCAGTTGCGCCTCGCTCTTCTTCGCGCGGAAAAAAAAGAAAGAGAAAATGTCCGGGCGGGCGGTCCGGGCCAAACAGGGTCTCAGCCAGTGGGGCGGCCTGTGGAAAACCACCGGGTCTCGGGCGTGTCGGCTCACTCGGGTGGGCCCACGCCCAGGGGCCCAGTTTCAGTTTGTGGGTCATGGGAAGAAATCTCAATTCTGAAAACATATGAAAACCTTCTGAAAACCACATGGGTTGGTATCCAGTCAGGTCCATGTCTTCAGGTTTCATTGTTTGTTTTCGGGAGCGTACGTCATCTACTATAACCTCACGGACGGTGTTTCGCGTGGAGATCGGCTCGAGCAGTTCGTGGAAGGCCAGAAACGAGTTCGACCGAAACGGACTGAAGTTGCATCCCTTTTTGTTCTCCGGAGGATGTTTAGAAAGAACGGCGTGGGCCAACGGCAGCTCTAAGGAAGGCTGAACGGCTGAACCCCCATCTAGTGCGTCTCTGAGTGGGAGATGGTCCATTTTGCCTAACAGTCTGCATCCCGAGAAAGGCTCCTCCAAGAATTGCAGTGACATTTTCAGGGATTTCCACCATCATCAGAGAATCCAAGTCAACTTGATGGTCAAATTGCGTGACGCCTCCTTGGTCGGAGCTGTTCTCTTTGAGACTTAGAGTCAAAAGTAAATTCGGCAAAAAGGCCCACAATCCATCAGCAACTTACCATCTCCACTAAGGCTCTAAGGACATCCGGGGGCAATGCTCTCCCAGTTACAGTTTAGACCCACATCCTTTGTGCAACATAACAATATCTTCATGCTCTACTATTCAAAGCATGCACATTGCAACTACACCGCCATCATCAAAACAACATATGTCCTCTTCTTCCCCCGAAAAGGCACTAATTGCACCATGACCCCTGTCCTAGCAACACCGTCCCTCAAAACGAACTGACCATCGGTGTTTGGCCGCACCTCTCGGGAACCCCAGGCTTCCAAGTCCTGGAAAAATCGGAAGCCCTGGGCAGTGCGCCTGCCGCCGACACGAAGGGTTCAACGAACCGAAGGGTTCAGCTCAGTTCGGCAGAGGACCAACGAATGGTTGAGCGGGAGATGCAGAAGACGGGGATTATAGAAAACGTTCGCCTGACCAAGTGATTCCGGTGGGACCTCCGGAGGTTTTGTGACCTCGGGAGGTGCCTTCCTATCTTCTGATCTGGTTGGATCTACAGTGGTTTCAGAGTAGATGGCACAATCCCCAAAAAGGTGGTTGATGTGGACCCCCATATAAAGAACATCTTTGGGTTTGTGAGTTCTACTGTCTCAAACCACTATGTATATATATATATATACGGATGGATTGTACATATATCACGGAATTGGACCACATGCATGTGTCTCAGGAGAATCCCACATTTCAATGCCTTTGTCCATGGAATCTTGTACTGTTTCATTGTATACACTGTACATGTTTCCCATGATCACTCGTTGTTGAGTTGCTTGAGTGTTTTGCACCACGGTTGTCTGCAAGTTGTGAAAGAAGTGTTTCGGCGTTTCCGTGGCGAGGTCTAAAAACACGTGAACAACCAAAACAAAAGAAACACACTTCTACCACTTCTCCCTTCTTTTCACCCTTAATAGTCCCAAAACCCAAGCTCCAGATGGCACCCGCTTTCACAATTGCAATCAGTTCATCGCTCACAAAATCAGTTCTTCTTGAACATTTTCCGCAGGTCTACACCATCTGCTCCTGACACTTCCTTCTTTCGATTCTTGTCTTTCTTCTCTTGCGTAGTGGCTTTGCTAAATTCGCCACTATGATACAAACCAAAGTTTTCAAAGTATTGACAAAGTTTGTCCAAAGTTTTTGATTCAAAGTTTACAAAGTTTGACAAACAGTTTTGGAATTTTACAAAGTTCGTACAAAGTTTTTACAAAGGTTTGGATGCCTACCATGTTTACAAAGTTTAGACACGGTCTTTACAACCTTTTGGTTTTATAAAGTTTACAAGGTTTTGGGCTTTTACAAAATTTTGACGAAGGTTTAACCAAAGTTTTGTATTTTTCACAGACAGGTTTGGACAAAGTTTTAGTGATTTTACTCAGCTTACAAAGTTTTTCCCGAATGCGTAGCGAAGGGTTCTCGTTTAACTCTGGGGGTCCGGGGGTAGAGCCTTGTTCGCGACCAGTTGTTTCTACGTCCGCAACCGTCCGCAGTAGAGCGCTAAGGCGCTGCCATTGGGGGAAGCTTTTGCAAGTGACTTTTCATGGATGTGTCACGTGTCAGTTTGCGCCGCTATTACATTGTGATTTGCTTGAAAATGACATGTCGCGCAAGAAACGTGATGCATTTCGCTGCACAGGCGCAGTGGTTTGTGAGATCCGCAGTTTGCTGCGCAGTTCCATTGGGATTAGCGTTAGGAGAGGGATGTTTTTGGGGTGTTGGATGTGGCCGTGCCATTGGGATTTCATCGAAGCTCTGTTTTCGTGACAAGTCTCAGGTGAAATGGCGATTTTGGTGGATGGGAGTGTGCTCAGCACGGGTCGAAATCATTCCAAACGTGTGGTGTGGTGCACATTTTGTTGAAGCTCACATGAGATGATATTGTCACTTTTCGTGGCAGGCGCAGTACTTTGTGCGGGCTTTGAGATGTGGAAGTTCCATTTTCGTGGCAGGCGCAGGGAATCGAGGTTGCGAGGTGTGACGGAGATCACATTTCGTGGCAGGCGCAGCACTTTGTTCGCGTTAGACGTGTGTGGACGAGGAAAGATGCGTGGCAGGCGCAAGGAATCGTGAGGTTGTGAGTCTGGTAGAGGTGGATATCGCTGTCACATTGGGATTGGCGTGTGAGCGGGTGTTGTTTGGAGGGGCTGGAATCGCCAAACTGCTTGGCAGGACTGCGTGACGCGTGTGCTCCGATGGGTGTTTGCGCTTGACTTTTGGAGGAAGTCTCGTACGAAACGCACGTTTTGCAGACTTTGACGTGTGAGTTTTTGAGGAAGTCTCGTACGAAACGCTCGTTTTGGAGACTTGACGTGTGGCTTTGGAGGAAGTCTCGTACGAAACGCTCGTGTTGGAGACTTGACGTGTGACTTTTGGAGGACGTCTCGTACGAAACGCTCGTTTTGAAGACTTGACGTGTGACTTTTGGAGGAAGTCTCGTACGAAGAGTGCCCTACAAGAGTGTCCCACAAGAGTGTCCCACAAGAGTGTCCCACAAGAGTGTCCCACAAGAGTGTCCTACAAGAGTGTCCCACAAGAGTGTCCCACAAGAGTGTCCCGAATGAGTGTCCCACAAGAGTGTCCCACAAGAGTTTCCTACAAGAGTGTCCCACAAGAGTCTTGCCACAAGAGTGTCCCACAAGAGTGTCCCCTAAGAGTGTCCCACAAGAGTGTCCCACAAGAGTGTCCCACAAGAGTGTCCTACAGGAGTGTCCCACAAGAGTGTCCCGCAACCGTGTCCCACAAGAGTGTCT